GTGGCACCAGGTGGAAAGACACGAACATCACGCTCGCCTTCCCACAAAGTCGGCAAGTCACACTTGACCCGATGATCCAACGACCAAGTTGCAGGCAACTCTGCCACATCACCTGACCAACGACTCAACCAGTCAGCCTTATCGTTGTGACAGCCTGCGATACGCGAGCAATCCAGAACGATGCCTGTGCGCCAAGCAACAGTAGCAAGTTTCTGCGCAAAGAAGCACAGAGGAGTCTTGACCGTGAATAGCTTATTCGCCACACTTTCAGTGCCCGAGTTATCCGACCACGAAGGGATCTTCACCCGCATGCGGCCAGACGCCGTAAAGGATGCGAAGCAGATCAAAAGCGCCAGCTGAGCCAATGTTTCATAAGACGTGATGTCCAAGTTCGCATCGTCCTGAACCGGCAACCCCAAAGCCCTAAATTGTGCAACCTTGAACTTCTCAGCAAACCAAACGGCTGGCTGATTCGGCAATTGAACCCAACCGCCAATGCCGATGTCATCCTTCTTTGCGCATGCATCGGCTTCAAGCACATAGCTGAAGTCCAACGGCGGGAAAGACAAGGCTCGCGGCATTTGAGGTCTGATACACCATTGCATCCAAAACTCAACAAAAGTGCGACTCTGCAAAGACAGCTTGCGCTTGGTGGATGAAGGATCGGCCACTCTCGCCCAGAGGCGCTTGCCAGTGCATCTGACCTTGGCCAAATCCTGCTTGCCCAACATCTCCACATGACGCACACTCAGCAAGCGACTGCCCACCTTGATGCTCGTGCCCGGCGGTGTGGCCGTGAAGATCATTTTCGCATCCAGATATGAAGGCAGAAGCTGCCAAGTTGCAGCATTCAAGCTAAAGTTCGTACCCAGGGGCCGTGCTAAGTCATGGTACAGAGTGCAAAGCCACGGAAGCAAGCTCGGCGCCATTTGCAAAACCCAATGCAACATGCCGATGACTGCCTGAAGATCACGTTTGTTGCAAGGATCAGATGCTGCGAGTTGAGTGAGTGCCGTGAGCAACTTTGCCACCTTGTGATCAGTCAGGGACAAGGAGCCTGATCTGAAGTTTATCAACCAACCTATGTACTCAATCTTGGGGCCTAACTGCAGTTTGCGCCATGAGATCGGGTACCCGAAAGTTTGTGAGAAGGTTAAAACCAACAAGGCTGATAAAGGAAGGGCTTCCCTGTGCTGAAGAAGCAATGCATCATCAACGTACATCAAGAAAATGTGGCTGATGTAGATCAGGCGGTGGCATGTGCGTACGTAAAAACCTGACAGGCGCTGCCACCAAAGAGCACTAAATGAGCCGCCAAACGGTGCGACCCGGTAGAAGTAATATCGGCCATTGACCGAAAAACCAAGGAGTCCTTGTTCGGACTCACGGATCCGCACCGTTTTGTGCGCCGCGGCAATGTCCAATGTACATACCTCAACCTCACCTACCACACCCCGCATCGGGTAAGAAGCTCTGATGTCACTCAAGCCTGGTAGCAGAAATCGCTCCGGGATGTGGCAACTAGGGTTTACACCTGAGACGGAGGGATCGACAATCAAGCGAGGCTTTCTGTTAGGGCTTTTGATTACATTGACCTTGCCTATGGCAATGCGTGACCATTTCTTCTGGGCCTCCTCCAAAGAATCAAAAACCAGCAAATAGCCCGCATCCACTTCCTGCTGAACAAGTTCCGCCAAGAGCTCAGGTTCCTCATTAGCCCCTGGCCAATTACCGGAGCATATCTGGACATCAAAAGAATTCGGATCAAAGTCAGCTGGAGTCGGCAAAAAACAATTGCTCAAGGAAATATCCCCATCTACCCCAGTCGCCACGCCAGCTTGCAACGCCGGCCATAATGCCGTATCCCGATCCTCAAGAACGCGGCTCAAAAGCTGCAAAGCGCACAAGCTATAAGGCTGATTGGGGGCCGCATCCCATGAAACCTTATCCGTGAAACCCCTATCCCTAAACCAGCCTTCCCAGATTTTTCGAAGCGACAGCACTTCCTGTGGGTTGAACAGGGGTTCATGGCACTGCTCCGCAGCGTGTTTGCGAAGCCTGTCGAACATGCGGTGTTGCAAGAAGAACTGCATGAGGTCAGAACGCAAAGACCGAAAGATATCCTGCATCCCAGTCGGCGGGGAAGTCCAGTCTGGGCAGCTGTAGATGCCGCCGCCATCCTGTTGTGCCGTCGGAAAATCATTCAAGGCTCGGGCAGGAATTGTCTGCTTATTTCCCTTTATGTGTCAACCGGGCGTTCATATTCCATATATACAAAAGAGTATGGTTGGGTCTCGAAGGGACGAACCCTTTATTTTCCGTTCGAAAATGGTTTTGAAACTTTTGTTTTAAAACCAAGCATGTTTGTTTTCAGTCACGTCAATGTGTTGCCTTTGCAGACACTTGTTGTGCTGAAACATTTCCCTATTCAAGGGAGGGGGGGCGGGAAACCCTCGTGTACATTCACCAATGTGTGTTTTGTGCATGGGGGTGTAGTGTAGTGTAGAGGAGGTGCTCCGAGCACTCGGTAGGGGAGGGGCCATGGCAGAAAGTCCAGAGCCTCAAGGTGCCAGGAGAAAGCCTTCCTCTGATCTTGAGGTCGATTGGGGCGACGGCCAGTCAAGTGTGTCCGATCTGCCTGAATCAGGGGTGCCTCAGGAAATCGTCCGAGCAGGGCCTTCATCGAGCGATCAGCATGCATTTTCCTTAGACGATTGGTCAGCTGATGTTTCTCTTGATGACCACGTCTCTGCAAGCAGCGTTGCAGAGCCAGCAAGTGTTGCCAAGGATAGTTGTGTGCCGAGTGTTGCTTCGACAGCCGTCTTGTCTTCTAGGGAGTATGCCGCTCGTCTACGGAGCTCCCACCTGAGCCTGCAAGATGCCACGCCGAAGTTCTTTTGGGAGCAGGGGTTTTGGTCTGATTTCTTCAGTCCTGCCGCAGTGCCAGAAACCATTATGCCGAAATTCAAGGACAGGCGGCCAGATCCTTATCACTTGCCTTTGTCGGAGCCTGTAGAGCTTGGACAGTCGCAATCTTCGAAGAAGGCACGTCGAGAGTTCGCAGCAGTCTTCCAGAAAGTCGTGATTCAGAGACAGGTGATTTCTTGGAGGGACGCTCGTGAGGCCTCCTTTGAGACGGCCATCGTGAAATGGGTTGCTCTGTTTGGGTCTTGGGATTCTAATAAGGATGAGTCTCTGGATGGCTTTGCACAGCTGTCGGAGCTTGAAAGGAGGAAAGTCATTGATGACAGCATCGCACGCAAAGCCCCTTCGACTGCCTTGAAAAGAGCAAACTCGTTGATCAAACTCACGAAGCTTGCCGGAGCCGCAAACATTGTCATGCCCGCTGCTGAAGGCGAGATCTATATCATTTTGACCGATGCCAAGTCGGGAGGGGCCCCATTATCCCAGCTGCGGGGGTTCATGGAAGCCATTACCTTCTCTCGACATGTCTTCGAAATCAGTAGCCTCCATCTAGTTAGTGTCAGCAAAAGATGTTGGGGAGTCACAGTTGCCAGGGTCGCGACTCCTGCGAGACAGGCTGACCCCCTGCGGGTCAAGGACCTCAAGGAGCTTCATAGGGTGTTGGATGAGGCGCCAGACCCCTGGGACCGTTGCTTCGCAGGCAGCGCGCTATTTTGCGCGTACGGCCGTTGCCGATGGTCTGACTCGCAGCACTTGGATGATATCGAACTTGAATATGAAGAGGGTCCTGATTCTCCCCTTGCATACGTTGGAGGTGTCATCGACATTCACAAAACAATGAACCTGCAGGGTCAGCAGCCCCGTGTTCTTGAAATCATTGCACCAGCGCAAGGAATCTATGAAGGTGACTGGGCTTTGAAGTGGCTCGCTGCACGTGCGGAGGTAGGCTGTGCCTGGTCGCAGGGCCACCCGACCATGCCTGCACCCAATCATCTGGGTGAGCCTACTGTCAGGGCTCTGGGCAGTGACGAGTGTGGTGCTTGGCTCAGGGCTCTCTTGCCAACGAGGCTGGACATGAGAACAACTTCGCACTCTCTGAAGGCAACGTTCTTGAGTTATTGTGCAAAAAGGGGCATGAGCCATCTTGACAGACTTGCGCTGGGAGGGCACTCCCATGGCGCGAAGAGTGCCGATACCTATGCGAGGGATGCCCTTGCTCGCCCATTAAGGTTGCTCCAAGGTGTCATCAGAGAGATCAGTATGGGCGTCTTCATCCCGGATGCTAACCGGGCTGGCAGGCTGATTGTCAGTGCTGAGACTTCAGAGCTTGCTCAGGAGTTGGGCCATGAAGTCCCGAGAGTCTCGCCACTGCCTTTGAAGACCGCAGGGCCTCTCCCGGCCCGGCCCAAAGAAGAGGTCGTGTCCTTAAGTTCGTGTGAGCCCTCTCCATCACAGCATGCTGAGCCCGCTTCAGAGTCCCATGAGTGCGAGGGAGATTCGTCGGAGGCCGATGATGGAGGTTCGAGCCGCAAATCAAGCTCAAAATCGTCTGTCGAGGGCACCACAAGCTCAGATTCCGATGCAAGCTCAAGCTCTGAAGAGGAGAGACCAGGACCCAGCATGCCTCAGTTCGTCCCCCGCCTGCCAGAGCCTCCTGAGGGCTTTCGGTTTGTGCAACACGCAAAGTTGAAAACCTTGCATTATGTCATGCAGGGTCACTTGAACTTCACCGTTTGTGGGCGTCGCATTACAGATTCTCTTACAGGATCCGTATCACTCAAGTGGGACAGCCCGGTCTGTCGCAATTGCAAGAAGTCTGTAGGACCACTCAGGTAGGGTACGCCATGAACTTTGAGTGCGATGAAAAGAGTGAAGTCACACTTCGAGTGCATGCCAGTCTTATTGAGTCATGCGAGTGTGTCATGTCTTTGTGCGACCTCCTAGTTGAGTGGGCTGCGAACATGTTTCGTGTGTTTTCTCGAACGCTCAGGTTCCAATTTCATGCGAATTCTGTCATCATGCTCAAGCCCACCTTTATGCCAGAGGGTTGAGGGAAGGGCCACACGTGTGATGTCATGTCGCTGATAGACTCGAAAGCTGAGTTCGAGAGCAGATGCAAAGATGTATGTGGAAGCAGTGCGCTCCTTGAGAATCTACGTGCGAAAGGGATCGAGAGCTTTTCGAGTTTGGCATTTGCCTGCGGCACTCCCCAAACGCCTCCAACCGAGACTGAGTTCGCTTCCTTTGCTGAGAACGTGTGTGGGCCATCAGTGCCACTGAACTGCTGCCCAGCTTAGGAGGCTTCACTTTGAGGCCATCACACTTGTTGTGGCGCAGTTGAAACAGCAAGCGATTGCAGATCCTGCCGAGGCGGTTAAGAAATTGCCATTGGCAGAAAAACAGGCCCGCATCGAAGATCAACGACGCAGGCTCCATGGGCTCTTGTTGGAGGATGAGTTGCAACCATCACATGCACTCATCGATGCATGCGCGCACATGATTGAGCAGAACCACATAACATGGGTCCCGCCCTCAAAATGCACGAAGAGGGACCAAGAACTGCGAGTTGGGATCAAGGACAAATCCAAGTTCCTTGTTGCAGCTGAGGGTGGTGTCACTCTTGCATCAGCCCCCACCGTGTTGACGGCCGATCATCAGACTCCGCTACAGCTCCAGTGGTGCTTGCAAAGGCGAGGACTCGCGCTCGACCTCAACAACATTATCGGCTGGACCTCTCACGAAAGGTGGGTCTCATTCCTTATGCAGACCCTTGCTCAGGAGGTTCCGGCAGGTTACCAGAGTGTCACCGTTGATCAACTCTTGAAGGCCGATTGTGAGCTTTTCCTTCTGATATCAAAGGAGACGAAGCGAGTCAAGGTCGGTTCTGATGGCAAGATGGAAGCTGAGGCAAAGCTAAATCAGCTGAAGACCGACCCGAGGGTGACCATGCATCTGCTGCCACTCCGTGGCGGTGGGAGGCCAGGGGGATCCCAGGCCCATGTTGAAATGCCAGATCTCGATGATGCAAATGCTCGTCTCAAGAAGAGGAGGACCCTTGAGAAGAAGCGCGGGCTCCTGGCCCCGGTTAAGACTGCTACGATGCCTCAGGAGCTGAAGGCCTGTCCGCATCACACTGATTCTTCAGGACGGCGTGCATGCTGGGGATTCAACCTCGGCCAGTGTTCACTTGCTACGCAGGGTTCGCCTCCGGCCTGCCAGAAAGGGGTCCACATCTGCATGACATGTCGCAAACCGGGGCATGGGCATTTTCAGTGTTGGCATGCTGGCAAAGGCAAAGGTACAGGCAAAGGCAAGAAAGGGGCGAAGGCAGCCGCAGAAGCGGCAAAAGAGTCGTGACTAGGCAATTTGCCTGATCGTGCACGCAGCAGGACGCCTTCAAAGGCGTTGGATGCCGAAACTTCCGGCTCCCTATCTTGCAGAATTCAAAACTCAAGTCAAGAGATCACGCCAAGCGACCCGTCCTCAAGGGACGCTCGCATTCCGAAAGATGATTGCCAGTCCGCTGACCACCCTCCGGTTGATCGCGACAGGCATACAACACCGCTTGATGCAAGCAATCCCGTTGATGCTGCCTCGTCGTGCAGCTCCGGGTTGCATAATGCTGCTGCTCATTCTGAGCCTGCATGTTCCAATGCCGAAAACAAAATCTTTCACTTTCCACCAGACTCTCTTTCAGACGAGAGCGGATCCAATGAGTCGGAGAAGCTTGCTTGCCAGATTCTTGCGGCTGGGCAATGCACTTCTTTGCAACTGCTCCAGCTCATGACCTCGCTACCCTGTGAAGACATGGCCCGAAGCTCCGGCAGAGTCGGGACTGAGAAGTCTTTCACTAGTGGTGCGTATGGTCAGGGCCCCTTGGTTGGACTGCGAAAACATGTAAGCAGCCATGCGCATGTCACCAGACTTCTGGTGAAATTGGCAGTGCAGTTCTTTCCAGCATTGACTTTTACAACTGTGGCCTTGTTTCGCGATGTCCATACAACCCGACATTCAGATAAAGGCAATTTGCCGGGTTCTCTGAATGGCGTGGCGGCGCTCAGTAACTTCTCAGCTGGGCATATCAAGTTGCACACTTCCGATGGTGAAAGACGCCTCGATGTGGCGACTTGCCCAGTGGTGTTTGATCCGGCAGTGGAGCACGAAACTTGCTCTTGGGAGGGCACCCGCCTTGTGCTGGTTGCTTTCTCAGCAAATCGGCTTGATCTCATGTCAGCTGAGGACACTGCCTCGCTGCTTAATTTGGGGTTTCCTCTTCCCTCTGTAGGTCCCCCTTCGGTTTCCCATAGGTCGCAGCCCAAAGTTACATCAGCTATGGCTGGTGACCGAGGCCTTGTGTTGCATTTCTTCGCTGGCCCTGCGCGTCTTGCTCAGTCCTTGCAAAAGAATGGCTTCGACGTCTTGGCCTTCGATCGCGGCACTGCCCGTGCCCGCTTTCCAGTCCAGTCTATCGACTTGTGTGACCTGCAGGACCGAAGTCTTTGCTGCAGCATTTTGACCGAACAGGCCGACCGCATTGAGCTCGTTTTCTTGTCGCCGCCTCTGCTGTCTTCGTGCAGTGATTCAGATCCGTTAGCAGTGGCAGTGGCCGCTGTTGTTCAGCATGCAGTCGAACTTGGACTCAGGGTGTGCATTGAAAGCCCAATGAAATCAGCTTTGTGGACCCACTCTGCCATGGCTGCTCTTTTCGCTTCAGGTCTGTTCAAGGACGTTTGCTTTGATGTGTGTATGCATGGAGGGCATCAGAATCGCCGGGTCCGCCTCAGCTGCAACTCCGACATCTTTGAGCCTCTTGCATTGCTTTGTAACCGTTCGCATAAACATGCTTCGGACGCTATGCTGCATCCTGCGGATAAAGGTGCATACCCTTGGCTCCTTTGCCATCGCATTTCCGATCTGCTGCTTCAGCAGACAACCTCGCGGGCGCCGCCGAACTCTTTGCTCGGCCCCGCTGCTACAGAATTGCGTGTTGCATTGGATCGCCAAGGCAAGTATCGACGACCACTTGTTTCAGAATTTCAGAGTTATGATGCTTGGGCGTTCTCTCCTGAGCTCGAAGCCGAACGTTCTCAGGTCATTGCTTTGTACCCCAAAGGTGCTCGCATTGTTCGACGCAAACTTTGCAAATGGGGTGCAGTCCGGGTTTGCCATCGTCCACTGCTTTCAGATTCTGCGCCCCTTGATAGGATGTCCGGGGATTGGGTCATTGGGCCTGGTTCTGTTGAGGAGCACCTGCCAAGTGGTGTGGTTAGTGTCTGTGGCATGCGAAGGCCCCGGCTTAAGGAGGAAAATCAGACGGTCGAAGTGGCTTGGATTGGCATCCCGCGGGAGCCTCTTGACTTTCTTCGAGAGGCGGTCAAAGTGGGGCACCCCAAGTCTTTCCTTGACCAGGACGAGCCCAGCATTGAGCGTCTCGTAGAGAATTTGCTAGGTAATGATTCGGTCGAGTCTAGTGCTCATCTCCTTGACGAGTGGCAAGAATTGCAGGTTGAGCTTGAGCCACATGAACAAGGATTGAGGCTGGCATGGCCCACTCATGTGCAAAACATCCTCCGAGACAAGAAAACTGAACTTTTGAAACGCCTTCTGTGCAAGCACGGATATCCAGATCACAAGGTTGTTGATCACATGCGTGAGGGTTTTCGGTTGTCAGGCTGGATGTTCCGGACAGGTGTTTATCCGGCCGAGGCCCGACCTCCTTCGGTCAGCATGGAGAGGCAGCTTGCTACTGCTAGGTCTCGAAATCTTTCGACTTTGGCTAAACTGCGAGCGCAGCCTTGCGATGAGGTTACAACTCGAGCTTGGGAGGAGACCAAAGCTGAACTGGAACGGGGATGGATTTTCGAGGCCCCATGTTGCGAGGACAACTGCATTTCCGAGGGCTCCCAATCGGGACGTCCGACCAAAGACTTCACGGGGTGTTTTGGCATAGGAGGTGTGTTGATTGCACGACGGTTTGGGATTTTGCAGTCGCTCAAGGTCCGGGTGATTGACGATTGCAAAGCCTCGGGATACAACCAGACCACTGGTCTCCCGGAACGCTTCCGTCTCCATGGCCTTGAGTTCTTGAGTGCCTTTCTTGTCAAAGCCATGAGAGACGTCAGGTCCAGATGCACCCCGATCCTTGGCAGGACATACGACCTCTCTTCTGCATACAAACAGTACGCCGTGCACACCGAAGATCGGAATGTTCTGCGCATCGGAGCCAAAGATACCGAGTCAGGATCGATCCGCCTTTTCGGTGTGAACTCACTGCCGTTCGGGGCCACAGGCTCCGTCGCGGGATTCTTGAGGACGGCGGCTGCGACTTGGTTCTTGGGAGCTCAGGTTTTGAAGCTCGCTTGGGGATGCTACTTTGACGATTACCCTTGTTTGTGCAAAGCCAAACTGGCCGATGACGTGAGCAGCATTGTTCATCGATTCTTCGGGCTCCTTGGCATTGTCTATGCAACAACGGGCAAGAAAGCAGTTGAGTTCGCTGCTCAGTTCAAAGTATTGGGAATCCTAGTCGACCTCTCATCCTTCACAGATGGCACAGTTCTGCTCAAACACACTGAAGAAAGGATTGCTGCCCTGTCTGCCACACTCCAAGATGTGCTTGACAGGGACGCGATCAGCCAGACTGAGGCAGACCGCTTGCGAGGAAGGATGCACTGGTTCTCATCTTTCTTGTTTGGCCGCCGATCGTGCTTGGCTCTGCTAAGTCTTGAGCCGTCGTGCCCGAGGCTTCGGTTGCTCTAAGAAGCTCGATCCAGAGCTTCGGCAAGCCTTGATTTACCTGAAGGATGTTGCGTTGCACGCGGAGCCCATTTCCCTTGACAGGCACATGGGACGCACGTACATCATCTTCACTGATGGTAGTCTTGAGGGCCCGACTGCTGGTTTGGGTGGTGCGTTGTTCGATGGGAGTGGTTCAGCACTCTCTTTCTTCGGCCTTGATCTCCCGGATCGAGTCTTGAACAAGCTTCGCGAGACCTCCAAACATCCGATATACGAAATCGAGATGCTTGCAGTGTGGGCCGCTCTGTCCATCTGGTCAGAGCAGTTGGCCAATTCCTATTCAGTGTTGTACATCGATAACGAAGCTGCTCGAGGAGCTTTCACTTCTTGCAAATCCGGTACTTTGCCGGGAAGCATGATCCTTGAGGCCTGTGTCACGCTCGAAGAAGCGACGCGATGCAGGTTATGGTTCGGGAGAGTGCCAACTTCGAGCAACATAGCAGACAATCCCAGTCGCGGTGATTGCAGTCAGCTTGTGGCCATGGGAGCGTCTCGGTCAGTGTTGCGACATCAATTCCCGCTTTGACACTGCTTGCAAAGGGGGCGGTGGTGCTGTGTCACGCATTGCTGTCTTTGAGTGGTGGCATGCCGTTCACTCGGCTCCGCCCTTCTGCAGCATGCTCCGAACTCCTACGAGACTGTTTACCCCTGTGCCCGTTTCGAG